TGCATTTTTCTAGCTCAAATAGGTTTGAAAAGCAAAATTTCATATATTTTTTAGCGACAGATTCATTACAGATGTTTCAAACGACTATAGTAGTTTTAAACGACATAATAGTCATTTAAACAACTACAGTCGTTTAAAACGACCATGAAAACGACTGTAGTCACTTTATATTACTTTGATTCATTATTTGCTAACATTGTGAAATTTTGCTATTATAATTACATCTATGGACTCAAAATGGATTTTTATATTTTATTTTGGTGATTTTGTTAATAATGATCAAGGAAAATGGACGTGGAAATGAAGTGGGAATGATGAAATGGTGTTTTATCTACGAATGGATCCGAGATACTTCAAAACAATAGAGAAGAAAATTGTTTTACAAACGAGGTGGATCTACTAAAATAACAGGGATTTTGTCTACTGGAGAGTTTCCCAAAAGACACAAATGTAGTAGGTGTGCCGTAACTGGGTACAACTGGCTAACGTATACAAGTACAATACCTTTAGCCGATAGAATATTGGAGGATTATCATATTGTTTGTTTAGTTGATAGCATGTTGTTTAGATAACAACACAAATTGATTTCTATTTATTACAGTTTATGCTTTTTGTTGTGAGTTTTTGTCATAATACATGCCAATTTTGTGATTTTATGAATGTTTGGTAGTTTTATCATATTCGTTTATTTCATATAATAAGTATCGAATGGAAAACAACTCCGATCGTTTTAAATGACTCAGTCATTTTCCATTAAAAACAAAAAAGACTATAGTCGTTTAAAATGACCAGAGTCGTTTTATAAGAAAAAAACGATCATAGTCTCTTTAAACGACTCCAGTCGTTTACATGAAACGATTGCAGTCATGTTACACGACTGGAGTCGTTTTTCAAATTCGACATCTCATTTTTCGATTATATACTTGTTTTCTATATACATTTTTATACATAATAGATTGAAATCAAACCAAACACGATTTAAAATGTTATAAATTATGATTTGGCTTATCCAAATCAATTTGCATCTCATCTTTCATTATACATTATTTTATCTTGCATACTTAGAAACTAAATACGGTATAATTGGACATTGTTAGTGGAGCAGAGTGAATTGTATATAATAGAGCTCGTCTTTTTATTTTATTTTAAACTAGTAAGTCGAAACCAAACAGAATCTATAATGTTGGAAGTTTGATTGTCAACTTATATTTCGTTATACATTATTGTAAATTGCACACTTAGAAACTAAACACAGTATACTTGAACATTTTTAGTGGAGCACGATTAATTGTATATAATAGAGCTTGTTTTCTTATTTTCATTTTAAACTAATAATTCGAAACCAAACAGGATCTATAATGTTAGAAGTTTGATTGTCAACTTATATTTCGTTATACATTATTGTAAATCGCATACTTAGAAACTAAACACGATATACTAAACACAGTATACTTGAGCATTGTTAGTGGAGCATGATGAATTGTATATAATCGAGCTCATCTTCTATTTCATTTTAAGTTAATAACTCGAAATCAAACATGAGCTATATGTTAGAAGTTTGATGTCAGCTTATATTTCGTTATACATTATTGTAAATCTCATACTCAAAAAAAAAAAACACGATATACTTGAACATTGTTAGTAGAGCACGATGAATTGTATATAATAGAGCCCGTCTTCTTATTTCATTTTAAACTAGTAAGTTGAAACCAAACAAAAGTTTGATTCACCTTATATGTCGTACATTATTGTAAGTAGTATTCCTAGAAGCTAAATCTGATCTACTTTCATTTTGGTGGAGCAATATGAATTGCATTTAATGAAGTTCATCTTCTTATTTCAATTTAAACTAATAAGTCACAACCAAACACGATCTATAATGTTACAAATTTGATTGTAGTCGTTTTAGGAAACGACTGTAATCTTTTTTAAACGACTCTAGTTGTTTTCCTAAAACGACTATGGTCTTTTTAAAACGACTCTAGTCGTATTAAACGAAACTTTAAAACGACTGTAGTCATAACTGTAGTCATTTAAAAAGACTGGAGATGACTACGGTCATTCTTTTCGAAAAAGACTGGAGTCTTTTAAATAACTATAGACAATTAGGAGAATGACAGGGTTAAACAACCAACATTTTTTAAAAAAAATCGACATTATCTCCCTTGTAATGTAAATTACATCAACCCGAAAAATAAACTTCTATTCATAATATTAAAAAACTCCTCATTCAACATACAATATACAATTATATTTACATTCATAACTCATAAACATACAAATACGTCAAAAGGTTCTAAGATTCATAATCAAGGGCAAAAATACCGACAGCCATATTTTCCCTCCATATGTTCATATAGAAGCCATTAACTTGTTCTACTGGACCGTTGATGCTCAAGAATTCTATATATTTTACTGCGTACACACCACGATCATCTAATGCATTATACACTTT